AATAATAGGCTATTGTATAACTTTTGTATTTAAATAATAATCATTTAGATTATAAGCAGGCAAAAAATACACCTCAGTACACCCAACATATAATCATTATGTTGTAATTTATAAACTTTTCAAATGTTAATCAGTATAAATTATAATGTACTCTGATATAAAGTTTATACTTTAAAAGCACCTCGTCATATTAAAATTATCCCTTATTTTATTTTGCCGTTTTTAATTTCGATCATATTATAAATGTTTAACAGTTAAACTAATATTATGATAGAATATTATTTACATAGTACATAGTTTAACAAATTTATCACTTTAATAAATAACTACTAACTTATTACAAAACAACTATTTGATTAATATATTTCAACACAATTACATCAAATCTGATTTATGTAAGTCATATTTATGGTAACACATTAAGCGAGTATATATTCTTGTTAATAATTAATTAATTTTAATAGCTATAATAATTAAAGCCAAAAACATATTTGCCATGATGACAAGTAAATTCATTATATCAATTTGTCTGACCGGGTTATTGTTATTGACAATAATTGACAATTGCTTAGCAGATCAAATTTTCAACATTGATCTTGGTGTTGTGGAATTGAAATTGTTGACTAAGTCAGCTCCCAATAAGGAAAGCACCTCTAATTCGTATCCAATTCGGCCATCATTAATCTACGGTGTTATGATCTATGCTATCAAGATTATTATTATATAACTAATGTTTTTATTTTATCAAATACTTTATTATAATTGGTTTATAATGTTTAATTTTATATTTAAAATTTGTACTAATTGAAACGTTTGAAATGAATTGATAATTGTTGTTATAGTAACTTAAATTTATAATTATTTTAACATGTAATTTATTTTCTACTTAAGTCTAAAATAATTCCAATAGTATAATCTTTAAGGGAAATCTGTATACAAACGGCAATATAATAATAATAAAATAAATTTTTAAAATGTCACAATAAAATTGCAAAAAGATCAAGAGTAATATTATTAATAATAATATAGGGTATTAATAATAATTGTGTAATATAATAATTAGATGACTTAGGATTAGCGTTGCCAAACATACAAGAATTTCCTTTATTATACAGGAATTTTCATAGAATACAAAAAAATTTCTTGTACATTAAAGCATACATATTTTAATATAAATATTTTAAAAATAAGCTGTAATACAGGGAAATAGAAGAAATTTTGGCACGTTTATACAGGATTTGTAAAATATCATTTGGCAACACTACTTAAAACATCAATAATAAATTTCCCTCTAACAACTAATTGTTATAAATTGTATCATTAATCCAGTCCATTATCCATGTCATGGATACTCTTACGTATAAACCAAAACCGTTGGCTTCCTGTTCACAATGTGTACCAGACTTTGTACGGCTCGCCACTGTTATACCAATGAGCACAGCCCTGCCGTCTACCACCTGCCATAATGGACTACCGGAGTCACCCTGGTGATGGTGGTGGTAGCACACAGTTTTTGTTACATAGATTTAAAAAAATAAAACGATTATTGAATTGATTAGTGAATCACTATTACTAATCACATTCACTTACATAACTTTATTTAAAACTTTTTAAATGAAACACATTGTACACAACTTACTGGACACGTTAGAGTACCATTACGATTCGGGTATTGTTTTGTAAAAATAAAATCTAGGTAATTCCTATAAGCGGGTTCAATGCGAACATATCCCACACGTAGTCCATTACTCTCATGTTCGCCCGCCAGACCATAACCGGTCACAAATGCAAACTCGTGTTTCGCATTAAAATGATCACGTTTTGGCAGACAAATGCTGTTTAGTAAACGATCCGGCTTAAAGTCCATGGCCATGCGAACTTTTATCAGAGCAATATCGTATTGACTCGGTGTGCCGTTAAAGTTGCTATGAGCGAATATATCTTCTGGCCAATAATTTATTTTATGTTTATCAATAACACCAGGGTAAAACTCCAACTTTATGGCGTAACAACCGAAGCAGCTATAAATTGGATAATAAAATATGCACAACACTTGTACCCTTGTTAGAATTAATTTTTAGTTATTTAATAATTACGGAGTATTATGTAATCTATTATATTGTCTATATAATAACTACAGGTTTATAGAAACACACAATTATTGTTAACATATTATTAATATAATATTAAATATAACATAAATGAGATAGTAACTTATTATTATGATTATGAAATAAATAAATAATACTTACACAACACAGTGGGCTGCAGTAAGTATCCAATGTTCGTTTAAAATTACCCCACCACAGTCGGTGCTGTATTGTATTTATATACTTTAATTATAATTTAATATGAAATCACACCAGCCCCCCCCCACTACCTCGGGATAGTTGTATCACCCGAATTGTAGTTATCCTATCAAAATATTTTTACAAACCTTGTTTTATAATTTTTAAGAGCAGGCGGAAAAGGGAACGGGAAATGTCGGTAACATAATAAATGACATAGATCAATACAGTACATACGATTGCCATGTAAGGGACCATATGCTTGGTTTAAAATGTCGAAGAATGTAAACCGTCCAGGGCACATCACCGGGTACGGCTGCTCTGCCACCGTATAGCTTGGGTCCCCCGATATGCCATTTGAAACAATTTTGGTCAATTTGGGGTATGTTTCTGGAAATACCACAATCACTCGTTGTAATGTTGGCATAATGCCATAAATCGCCTTGTTCAATGCAACAATTATGGTTAATTAACGCGATTAAAACTGTACAATTGAATAATTTGTCAATTAAAAATTATTATAATTAATTCACAATATATTACCAATGATAGTATTCAAATAAAATGCCATGTCCACACGGTAAAATGGTTTTTTAATATTATTATAAATTTATCAATTATAATTACACATAAATTGTGACTCTATTTACAATAATTCATTTGGTTTGTAATGTAATAATTTGTTGTATTATTCTCATATTATAGTGTTTCATTATGGTGTTAAATATTAATTAAAATTTAATTCCCAATAATGACTTAAATAACCAAAATATTCAAGTATCGCATTGTCATATTAAGTTTATAAAATTTTAGCACATTCATAATACACGATGTTTTAGTTTTGACATATCGAGATCGACGTCCATCAAATTTATTATATTTATAATTTAATTGTAAGTTTAAAATTGTTTGTATTTTCTTACAGTTTCCAATAGACATTGCTCTATAAGATTATGATCCGGAGCAATTAAATTAATTATTTATTACAAAAAATATATGTTGCATGTGTTTTATTATGCTAAAAATTAAATGGATTCGTTAATTAGAACTAATATAACATAGTATACCAGATATTATGTAATAGTATTCTTATCATTATAGATTTATTGTTATAAATAATTTACACAGAATAAATTTATCAATAAATGATTGTTTAAAAAAAATCACAATCACATTCTATTTCCCACTATTATATTGATGTTCATTAATAAATAGTTTAGTGGTTGTAGAAAATATTAATATAACTTGTAAGTTATTACAACATAATCAAAATCTATTAAAGGTATAATAAATCAATTAAAGCAAAAGGCTAATTTATAAATATCTAATATTAAACATTGGACAGCTTTGTTTGTACTTATCTATAAACTCGCTGTTTTAATCAATCTTTACACTTAAAAGTGCTCTGATAAAACAATTTGTTGGCTAAATACAGTTAGACTAATTGCTTTATAATTAAATCTCATTGTAATATACATTTAAAATATACCAACATTGATTAATAATAACAAACAAACAATAAGTAATAAGAGATGTATTTAGCATGAGTACAAGTAATAGAAGTAATGTACATTTATAATCATTTATTTATTAAAAGTAAAATTAACAAGCAAACTTGAAAACAAATTGACAGTGATTCAGTGTGTTTACATTTGAATCCGTGTATTTAATCAAACTTAATTAATCATCAGGATGTTTAATTAATAACTAAACAATATTTAATCAGAACATAATAAAAATCAGTCACAAAACAATTAAGTTGCAATTATATTACTAGTAATTATTGTTGTATTTGTAATCCAGCATCAAACATACCGGTGTCATTTATTAGATGAATATGGTGATTGTTTTGTTTAAATAACTTACATTTAATCCACCTAGATCAAAATCTAATTTCTACAAAACACTGGTTGTAAGTATCATAAGACACAAACCACTTGAAAAGCCATGTATTTTGATCTAAAACTATCAAAACTACTGTGTAGTTCAATGACAAACAGGACAGTAATAATATAACCAGGGTTAAAACGGGTATTGCAAAACTACATGCTAACATATGAGATAGGGAAAACCAAACGTTCACCAACTTTTCATATTATGTCTATTAGAAAATTATGGCTAGTAATAACTCAAAATATACATAACCCATTTTAACAAATTATATACTAAAATGTTCATTTGTAAAATATAAATTAATAAATGTTTCAGGATTTATAAAACAAATAAGTTGCATATAAGTATCACAATTTCTCACACCCCCATAGAGATAACATGGAAAAGTTGGTGAGCTTTTGGTTTTCCCTAATTCATGTTTACTACTGTATTATAAGTAATTTAACTGATTCTTAGTGTAAATATGGAATGTTTTTGCAACATGCTCAAATCAAATTACTGTAATGTAAAATAAATCAATAACTGCTAGCTATATAAATAGCGTGAACATCGTGGGAGAGTTTAGAGTAGTTTGTTTTAATTATTACTTTACATTGATCATTTAAGTAGTTAACTTGTAATAACTTAAATGTTTAGCTAATATAGAATTTATTTTAGTTTATATTCACTACACTATTTATTAAATCATCATCATAGTAAATTAAGTTTTATAAAAAATGTTTTTATTATAATAAGAATTAATAAATAATTTTTACTAACTTTAAAATAAAAAGTTGCTTAATACAATTTCTCGTAAAATAAACATAACCCACATCAAACATGGATTTTAACCAAAACACCCTTGATGACAATATCATTCATACGGAGCCCCTGAACGACGTGACGACTGGCACAACAAACGGCTACTTAAAAGACGTGGACAGCACCGACCTGTCCGGTCGACTCCGGCCATCCCTGGCCTCTATATCTCCCGTTCGGCCAAAACTTCCCTTCAAAACCAAATTCTTCTACAGTTTGGGTCACATTTACAACGACCTGACGGTCAGTATATGGTTCTCGTATACATTGCTGTACTTTAAGTACCAGTTTGACGACTCGATGGCCGGTGCCTTGATTTTAATTGGGTATGTGTTTTAAATCACCTTGTGGTATTAACTATGTTCAATTTATTTTAAGATTCTGTTGTTTGTAATTTTTGTAACTAACTATGTAAATTTAGTTTTCTAATATTAAATAGTACAAATACTAGAAATTTTACATTTATAACAAAATATAACATCTCATACATGTATAGCACAGCTATTATTCTAATGTAGATTTATTTAAATACAATTTTCAATTTTAAAGTGCATTATAAGATTATTAACACATTAAATTTAATAACAATTATAAAATATTGATATCACAGCCAATTCGCGGACGCCATCGCCTCACCGGTAGTGGGTTTCCAGTCGGACCGGCCGTCAGACCTATGGATCTTCCGGTACGGGCGCCGCAAGACGTGGCACCTGTTGGGCGTTATTATGAACACCATAAGTGTGCCCATCGTATACAACACACCTTGTTTTCCGGGCAATTGCGAGTTGGCCTCCAGTTGGGCCCGGTTTGCCTGGTATGCTGTGCTCATCATTATATTTCAGAGTGGTTGGGCCGCCACCCAGGTATGTACTTTTGCATATGAGTGTGTGGTTGATATTGTGCTAGTATTGTGCTGTTTTATCATGGTAATTATTTTTTATGCAGGTCAGTCACGTGAGTTTGATTGTGGATCTGACTGATGATACCAATGAACGGATAGCGTTAAACGCGTACAGGTTTGTGATCAATACATCCTTGTTTTATCATGTTTAAGAATTTTATATTATTTTATTTTGAGTTGCACATTATATTAATTTCAAAATTAACAAGTTAGTCTATGTATATATTTGTATTTTTAAAATACTGTATAATTTAGGTATTTATTATCCATCATAATGTAATTATTATAATATTGACAGTAAAACAAATAACTCTAATTGAATAATATTTATTTAAATTATTTTGAGAATGTCTTGCCCATATATTGTTGACAAATAAACACAATAAAAGTAAGTTAATTTGTTGATTAACAACATGTTTTGTTAGAAGCTTTTTATCCATAAATTGATAACACAATATAAATATTAGTTTATTATTTAATACTATTATTTACCTAAATCATACACCAATGTCAACTAATAATTATTATCGTGATTTTATCAATCATGTTTATTTATAAGTATTTATGCTGTAAACTGTCTAAGAAAATATTTAACTCTATTTACCTATTATATTTACGTAAGCTGATAACTGCAAAATTAATTTAGTTTACTTTACCAATTAACTATCGTTTACAATAGAACAAGTAATGTACCATGATAAAACCTTTTTTATTATAGACAAGCGGCAACAATCGGGGCAAATATATGCCTATATATGGTCACACTATTTGTTATCGGGTTTGGCAGCAGCGACACATTGAGCAAGAAAGATTTAGACGTGTTCACGGTCAGTCTCAACTTCATTAATTTAAACGCAACCATATTTTAAAAAAATACGATTACATCTAGTTATAATTAAATTTACATTACAATAATTCAGCAAAATTAATAGTTTTAAAACCACCTTACTCACTTCAAAAAATAGAAAGTTTCATACATAGTGTGCGGCATTGGTATCGTATTCTCCATACTATTCCACGTATTCGTTAAGGAACCGGAATATACAGCCAAACCCCGTAAAGTGCGGCCATCGGTGTTTACCGTAGAGACCAAACGTCTGGCACAGGCCAGTCGTGGGTCGACCAGCACAATGACCCTATTGGCCCAAAATCAGCCCGACACTGCCAGCTCAGGCCGGCCATCGATTTGCGCCATACCGGAGCCCTCGAGCGTCGAGTTAGGCCAGTATTTACGGTCAAAGGCTAATCAAAAACGGTGGTCCCATTGGTTGAAGAGTTTTAGTTTTTGGAAAATTACCTGTATGTATACAATGGCACGCATGTTTGTGAATTTGTCCCAGGTGTATACGCCGCTCTACCTTCAGGATACATTAATGATGCCCAAGGTATTTTAAAAAGTTTTAAATCTCTCTCTCTCTCTCTAGTTTGACTCAGAGTTTGCGGTAAATAATATCACCCGGATAATATTATAAACTAACTTGTCAACGAAACATATCTCCCACTTTGTAATTTAAGCAAATCCTTGCGCCGATCAATAAACTCTCTCTCTCTCTCTCTCTCTCTCTCTCTCTCTCTCAGTACTCTTCCCACTCTTCTTCTTCTACTTGTGATCATATATTCATAACTTTATTCTTCATTTAATGTTCAAAAAATGTCTGGTTATTCATCACTCACGCCATGAGTTTTGAGGTTTCGATTTTTGCAAACAAATGCATTGATATGTTTGCAAATGTTTAGACCAACAGTTATTGTTGTGTAGGAAATGCACGAACAAAAAATCAAGTCTTATCTCGATTTATATGTCGAAGAAATGGATGAAAAATGGTTTTTTGCATAAAAAGACTATAAATTTTAAATTAGTAGAAATATAAGTCATTTTTCGTTTCTCTCTCTCTCTCTCTCTCTCTCTCTCTTTCTTCACAAAAGATATCCAATATTTGATATTAAATCTCTACTTTTAAAGTCAATCATTTCAATGATCGGGAATTACTTCAAATGTAATATTATATGAATTCTTGAAGTGTACTTTTGAATGAACACTCCTTCTCCTCGAGTATATTCCAAATGCTTTATACGAATGAAAATAAATAAATATTTCCATTTAAGAAATCTAATGAAATATATATATTTATTTCTCTCACTTTACTTTCATTTCAACATTAAATAAGTTATGACTCGCGACGAGAAAGTGAAGCCAAATATTTTTATTTTGCACCAAATTATCGACAAATGAATTGCCTGTGATTTGAAATAAGTTTTTGGTGTGAAAACTAGTTTTGTTAGCCAATGCATGAACTCGTATAACAACTAATCACATAAAATCATTAGAGATCTAATTTTAGATTTGTCTCCTATTTTTGCCTTTTGTTTCTGCATTTGAAATGATAATAAAAGAGCGCAACAAAACTCATTGAATTTCTTTATGACAACACAATTATGTGAAAGAATGGATTCAATAAATAAATTGAATGAAAATAACGATTAATAATGGGCTACGAAGTGATAGTATAATGTATTGTATATATGTATGTATTGTTTACGCTATATGTGTGTTATATAAGCACTTGGATCGTGAAGTTCATACCGTTTTCATGAAATTGATAAGCGCTGTCCCATAAGGCCAGGGATCTCTACTCTCGCAACTTATTGTAGGCATAGATTGCGATATTGATTGCTGTTGTGAGCGCTCAAAATCATCGACAGCTTTGGCAAAGAGGTGCACAGAATCGTATAGCAAAGCGGTAGTCGTCTGTAGTTCGTCGTCGTCGACATCGAGTCCAAGAAAAGTCGTTACCAAACCATACAATAAGAAACGCATATAAAGAATGTATTCAGTTATGGATTACATGGGAATAGGAATTATATGTTAACATCAAAATATTGTTTGATTTCTCTCTGATTATTGATTTGGATTTTTCTGATCAATACTGCGCTGACAACTATAACAACTAAATTTATTTTCCGGTTTTCCTTTTGCTTTATGCCAACGATTTTAACGTTGCGAATAAAAATGTTCATGTTTTTTGTGTTTATGCACTAAATTTTCATATGACAGGCAATAAATGTCTGTATTATATATTGAATATACAGTATTTGGCCGTATTATGAAATGAAATGCATGATGTATACCGGGATGACTTTCTTGACGGCAGAGTGGGGTCGACCCGATATCCAATCGCGTGTCATATAACCAATTTGCTGTCCCTTCGGGTCAAGTAATGTAAGGCCAGTGATGTTGGTTTGCGTGTATTGAAATTCACTCAGATTTAGCGCATGAATGTCCTAATAATGAACGGAAGGGAGAGAAAAAATAAAGAGTAAAACACATGATAGAAATGCAATTATTTCGCTCTTTAGTTGTGTTGTGACAGTAATAGTGTTACAGAAGAGAGAGAGAAGAAAAATGCCAATACATTAGAAGACGTTTGCGATACTATTTTCTATCCTTAAACAACTCTCTCTCTCTCTCTCTCTCTCTCTCACTTTCTCTCTCACATACTATTGTGTTATTTTTCTGTAACATATCAGTGAATTTGATTGAGAAAAATGTTTTATAACTTAAATAAGAGACAAAATTATTGCACACAATATGTGTCACGACTTGAGTCGACAAACCGTACAGACATTGCCGATGAAGAAGAAGAAGATTCACAAGTAGTGGAAGAATGAGAGCTGATATTTAAACAAGTCATGTCTCACTATCAACACAATATGCAGTGATAATCATTGATTCGCTTAAACTAACGAATTGTTCAAATAATTCATTTAATATATAATATTTGCTGTGTTTTCATGCAATCAATACTTAATATAAGTTGTGATTTATATCACAGAATAACTGTATAACTGTTTCGGTTTATTAAAACTAATATTATGTTCACTTGTCTGACACATCTTCAAACCAGATGAAAAACAAAACAAGGATTGCAGTCAAATGTCATATTTCAGCTATTTTTCATTAAAACAATTTTTTTTCTAAACGCATACAAAATATTAGTTTATAAAAATAATATTATTCCATAAGAAATATATTTCATGAATATTTATCGTTTACCCATACAAATAACATTATCTCATACTTCTTATGCAGAATTGTGTCTAAAAATCATATATCTCTATCTGTTTCATCGCATTCTGAGAGAGAGAGAGAGAGAGAGAGAGAGAGAGAGAGAGACGCATCCTTTGATTCTCTTTTGATATAAGACATCACTTTTAGGCGCTGTATATATGCGGCCGACTGTCAAACAGTAGCTAATAAAATAAAGGCATTCTCAGCACACCTTTTGCCTCAACATTTTCAAATGTAATATCATATACACTATTGGTATATAAAATAGTAAACGGGAAGTTTTTTTACTTATAGAAATTTAAAGTTAATCCTGTCTTTCGTTTATATATAGTTCATTCTTCAGCCCAACTGATGGACGACTAATTCAATAACAACAGGAAATTCTCCGATTTTTGATTCGTGTCATAGAATCCAATGCTAATATTGTGAATGACAATAAACTATTAGGCATTTGCATCGTTGGCAGCCATCGTATATAATAACAATCGTAATAAGAATTCTGACACAAAATTACAATATATGTATCGATTACATAAGAAGAGCAGAGAGAGAGAGAGAGAGAGAGAGAGAGAGAGAGAGGATTGTGTGATGTAATGTTGGTATCGGAGAGTTTGTTGACTTATTTGTGTTCACAACAGAAATGAAAGAATAAAAGTCAAGATATCATGAATCATAATAATTCGAGTCATCCCGGGCTTCAATTCACATCATATCCATTAGCTATCATTTTCACGCATCCTTTGATTCTCTTTTGATATAAGACATCACTTTTAGGCGCTGTATATATGCGGCCGACTGTCAAACAGTAGCTAATAAAATAAAGGCATTCTCAGCACACCTTTTGCCTCAACATTTTCAACTGTAATATCATATACAGTACAGTACTGTACTCTCACTCTATCGCATACACTATTGGTATATAAAATAGCGAAAACGGGAAGTTTTTTTACTTATAGAAATTTAAAGTTAATCCTGTCTTTCGTTTATATATAGTTCATTCTTCAGCCCAACTGATGGACGACTAATTCAATAACAACAGGAAATTCTCCGATTTTTGATTCGTGTCATAGAATCCAATGCTTTCTTTGCAATCCCTCTATATATGTACTGTATTTATATATTATGTGAGTTTACATTTATTTTTTACTTTATTGCAGAAAAAAATATTCTTTGAAAAATTCACATAAACCTCGAATAAAATCACAAATTCTTCATTCGATGGCAAGAAGAAGAAGACGAAAAAATTTATGTATTGAATGGTTTAGCAATACTTTATTTTTATTGAAATCGATGTTTTCTCTACTGTCAGTGATTCCGCTCCTTTCGGATCATCTAATGCTATATTCCGTCGGTTTGAGAGGATTCTGGAGACAAGAATTTAGTGAAACAGCACTCGTGTGCAGTATATTTATATATAGAATATTCTGTGTATTCTCTGCTTATGTAACACTCATTCGCTGAGGAGTCTCATTGACTTAACTCGTCTCTCTCTCTCTCTCTCTCTCTCTCTCTCTCTCTGGAGACGAGAAGAATACATTAGCTATGTATATAACATTAAAACACAGTCTTAAGAATAATGCTAACAATAATATATGCTACCGACGGTTGCTACGTTTACGGATTATCAAATAACAGTAAGTGTTATAAATACATGCGTTTTCATGGATTGTAATGATATGATAGTAACTGTGAAGTGAGAGTGAAATGAAAATATAAATTCATAACACAATTGGTATATTCAATACACCAGTGGTTTATTACGTCCCTTATATTCGCAAACATTACTTATTTCACTGAATTTTGGGCTATATTTGGCATTTAAATGTTTTGTTTGTTTTTTCGCTATTTTCTTTACATTACAGACGAGAAAAATATTGATTTATTATAACATTATGTTTGCTTGATTTGAAAGGCATTCAGGATTTTTTTAGTCACTTGTTTCGCACAAATTCCTTCTCACAACCAAACGTACAGTGAGTTTATAAATGCAAAACACAACACAAGTTGCTTATAGTCTACACATTAACACAACAATAAGGACTTCGTTTACTAATTTGAGCCTAATTTTCATATTTCAATATTCTTTATGAGAGCACCAAATGATGGATTATTTTTAACTGCAAAATAAAAATATCCCTCTCTCTCTCTCTCTCTCTCTCTCTCATCTGCAACTAATATCAAACAAAACAAAAACACGAATAATTATTCAAATTTTATTTTCAACAGAGAATTCATTGAAATTATAAAATAAAGTTTACGAGTGCTTTGAAGGCATTGCAAAAAGAGATGCAAATAATTCACTATTTATTATATAAAATAATATGGAAATTAGATATAATTTCATGGGTTATGTTAAATGTATTACAAAAATAACTAAAAAGTTTTCAAATAAATTTCTCTAATGGAGAATATACTGAAATTTGAAATTATTTAATATAAAAATTCTCTATAAATATTCTCAAAAAGTAAATTTATGATTTTATGACTCTTTATACATATACTGTATATATCGAGAGTTATGCTAAACATCTCCCGAAAAAATCTATATCTGTATATATCGAGGAATGTATTAGATTTCATTGAGGATATAATTTATTTTTATCAAAAGTTATGATTTGAAAATGTGTATAATTTTGCCACTAATCGATAGCACAAGTGCTGAGAGAGAGAGAGAGAGAGAGAGAGAGAGAGAAATAAATATCTATAATACATACGAAAAACGAAAGTTTTGTTTTTACTATTTATATTCAATTCCCTTCTCTTATATTTCAATGCTATTAAAGTAATTCTATGTAAAGAGAGAGAGAGAGAGAGAGAGAGAGAATCCATTGACATAAAGAGGCCATTATTTCGACACATTTTGCGAAATTTATTTTAAAATTAAATTCACTAAAAAAGTTATTTTTTAAAGAGAATAACCAAAAAATCAATTATTCATGTTTTGGAGAAAACAGATCTGTTATATAAATTTAAAAAACCCCAATAATAAAATCATTGCCAAAAATAGGGTTTTGAATAAATAAAATTATAATTAAATTATGAATTGAAATTCCGTAATGAATAGAAGTGTATAAATGACAACAAAAAGAAGACAGAAATGAATATTCAATACAATAGAAAAAAGAGGAAAAATGTCTTAATTTCTCAAAGCATTTGTCATTCATAAGCATAACAAAGATGTTGTGATATTGTGTGTCAAAACTGTTTAAAGAATGTGTTATATATTATATATAATAATAACAAGAATATTAAATATTGGATCGATTTATGAAAAGGCAGTCAAATAAAAAGGAAACTCATATAAAAAGCACAAAAAAGGCAAAACAGGCAAAAAATTACAGCCAATCAATTAGATTGCGAACAGATTTAACGGCTGTTCCGTTGACTCAGGAAAATAAAATTTGTGACAATTTTTTTCATATACAGTGTATGTATTTTTCGCTTAGAAATCATTAGCTGAAAGCCATCGCACAATCTCTACATAAGTTTACAGATTTTGCTGTCAATAAAGTCAGAGATATTGAGTATTTAAAACATTGATAAAATATATGTAACGTAATCTGAATTGAAAAGAGGAGAGAGAGAGAGAGAGAGAGAGAGAGAGAGTTGCGTTAAATTAACGGATCATTAAGTTAGAGCCATTGAGCGCCTGATCTCATCGATTCCTTTACAATCGTCAATATATTTTGGGCCAAACTGTTGACAGAAATACTCACACGAAATATATTATTTGCTTTAAATTTTTAAAAATGTGATTTCGATTTGAGAAATATTTCTAATAAACATCGACCGGCGAAATGGGTTTTTAAAGTTTGGTAAAATTAAAATTATTAAACGTTGAAAACTTTGTTATTTGCAATTAATGTGATGTTATATAGGAATTGGAAAAGAGTGCGAATTCTGTCAACACTATATATTTTCGCGAAAAATCCTATGAAAAGCTAATAAATCAATCAAAAACATATTGTGTAGGAAAAAGAAATCGGAGTTTAAATAAGAAATAGAGTTTAATATATTTGCAATAACTCTGTTGTGTATCACTTACTACTCATACAATTTTTATATACTTTGAGAGTAACACGGATTTTATTGGGGAAACTGGATGTTCACAACCAGTGGAGTCACATATGGTGTCAGTACTGGAAAAATGTAAGAGAGAGAGAGAGAGAGAGAGAGAGGCACAGCATTTGTCAAATGTATTAAAGTATGAAAAATGTCTTTTCTTTAATAGACAGACACAAATTTATAGTCAATACAAGACATGTACTGTTATTACAACACATAACGGTTTCTACTTTATAGATATAGTGAAAGAGTGATAATCACATCCCATATCCACAGAAAAAAACATAGTTTGCTTCTCACACCAGTGGCACATGTTTTCGCAGTTAATTAACTTCACTGTTATGTTACCTGCGATCACATTAGTGTCAAATAAAACAACAAATAAAATATTAATTTGTCAACAATTCGGTTGCAAAACATTTATATCTATATTTCGGATACAATTAATCTTTTCATTTGTTTTGTTTGTTGTGTAAAATTCCAGAACTTGAAACTCAATTGAAAAATTGTAATTTTAATTCAATAAATTGTTAGATGTTTTTATTAAATTTTTTGTTTTCATACAGAATTGGCATTTTGTTGTTTATTTATATTTAGTGCTCATTTGATAAATATCTAGAGTGTTTTGAGTGAAATATTTGCTCTCAATATTATTGGCTAAGAGTTATCTTCTCCGCCAACAGAGAAGCGAAAACGTCTGGATTCTCATCACGTATTCCTTGAACTCATTTTCGGCACAGAATTTGTGCAAAAAAATAAATAAAGAGAAGAAAATGTTTATTCATATTCATTAGATGTGCCACACATTTGTACCAATAGACAAAAAATAATGTGAATATTTATCTCGCATTTATTTGGCAATAATTTTATTTTTGTACCAAAAAACAACTTCTCTCTCTCTCTCTCTCTCTCTCTCTCTCTCTCTCTCAACAACTAATGATTATTTTTGCTAAGAATTCAATTTCAGTTTCACTCACAGACAGAATATTCTGCACCGAAAAATGTCGATCAAAATTATACTCCGATTCAGTGACCAATACTCAGATATATATAATATAATACTATATTATTATTATATGATTTATACCCAAATTAATAGTCAATTATTGGGTCAAAGCATTACTTCATTTATAGAGAGCCAGTAATTGAATGTCTGAACAGAGAGTTATTTGGTTAACAAAAATAATAAAAACGACGAGAAATTTCTTATTTGTTTTGTTACTTTCTGTCTCTCTATATATAGTGTGTATCTTATGATTGAATAGAAAGCTAAATGCATTGAGAGATGTCTGCAAATATGTGTTCACACAATGCGCTTAATATTATATAATATTATATATAGAAACATATAGAAGAAGCCAAGAAAGGGATGTATTGTTAAAACAAACATAATTTCATTGCACAGCAATTCATTGAGCGGAACGGAAAAAATTTCTGTTTTCCTTAATATATATATAAAAGTCTTTATTATTAGACACAAACTCACAATAGGATGGGATAGTGGACTGGCATTAGCACTGGAGATACACTTAAGCCATGGCCTGCTCTGTGAACTGACAACACGTCTCCAAACATTATATTTTATTGTCAAAAGAGTATAGTTTTCGCCACAATATTCTCATTTAATTTAATATGAGATTAAAACTCAATGAGCGCTTAACTCGCATTTTATTTGCCCTTTTATTTAATACTTCATACAATATATGAAGATATGATGATTGGTCACTGAGGATGAGAGAGGAAGAGAGAGAGAGAGAGAGAGATTATATAATCAAATACGAGCTGATATTATATGATTCAAAATGTTTACTCACTTCACTTTCTATACGCTATTAAAAGGGAATATATCTTTCAAAATCATACAATTTTGAGAAATGTTGACACATTTTACGCTAGTTTTTCATACGAAAAATCATATGATATATTAAGTACTAAACAGTGAAACATGCGATACGTTTTTGAGCACTTAAAATGTAAATTTGAACGCAAAACTCAATTTCAGTTTCTCTTTCTGTGTGTTTTCTACAGTCAAATATCCAGGGATTGAGTGGACCCTTGAAATTGGATAGGAATGGACAGCGAACTGACTTCACACTCGATCTCCTGGAGCTCAAGAAGACTGGCTTCGAAGTCGTGAGTGAAACCGATTTTATTTTTCTCCTCATTTTCTTTATAACATACAATGTTTTGCTAATTATTTTACAGTGCATTGCATTTCATTAATTGCAATTCACTTATTGTTTGTGCAAAACACACGTTTGTTGTGTGCAAATCAACCGAATAAGAATCAGATAATTTCTGAGAAATTTTCCGCAAAAATTCTGTACTAAATTCTGTTGGATATCTTCTCATAACAATCTGATTAGGTTTTAAATAGACTTTAAATAATTAGCTTAAGAATTTATTCCTAATTATATTAATTACTATAAAAATCATTTTAAAATTAAAACTTTTATTTTTAGTTATAAATTTATTTAATTACAATTATCCAAATGATATTTCTTTTATTCACTGTAAGTATCAATCGTTAATAAGACTTCCACTTTGTGTTGCGATAAGAAATGGTTAATTATGTTAAATAGTTTTATATAGAGTTTATATAAATAGCTCTCAAAGAAAAACAATAATTAATTTTGGTTCGTGTGTTATATATAGTTAATTAAAATATCATATAATTTGACTTTACTTTGACTTTCGTTCCGGTTTTTCACTTAAAAGATACGATCAAAGAGTGAGAAACTAATTGCAAATGACTTTCACTCGAGTTTTCTACGAAAATAATGTCATTATGACAGCAGAAAAAAGTTTGTTTTTTAGTTTTATATTTTGAGTTTGATTTTTATTTACATAATTTTATTATACATTCCATTCGTTATATGAAATTTTTCAAGACTCAAACCCATCGGAATATTTGTCTACTTTTGTGCCGACAAAATGAAAACATATACAGATTTTACCCAATATTTTGTTTGCTAACGAATCAAATTCATTAAACAATAAAATGCTGTCAAATATATTTAAGAGATTTATTTAGTTTTTGATTTCCTTCGAGTAAAATACGTAATGTTTTGTAAAGTTTTGCGAATTTTTAAAACAACAAAAAACAATGACATTTCAAAATACGAGACAAATAAATAAATAAATATTAATTTTTCAAATCATTTTCAGACAATTCTTGTGATTGCGTGAAATGGGTTGCAATTCAACCATATATTGAGTTATAAGAAGTATAATGCAAGAGAATATGAGTTAATTCACATTATATTACTTCTCTCTCTCTCTCTCTCTCTCTCTCTCTCTCTCTCTAACGGAGAGATTCGATACATTTTTTATATAATGTGATGAAAAACAGTGAAAAATTGATCGCTCGGCCTATCGGTAGAGCGGAGTCGAGCGGGTGTTTTACAGGCGATGCAATGTTTGTGGCAATCGATCACTATTTGCTTGGATTATAGAATTTACACCAAAAATGAATACTCTTTTGATCATTCAATTAATGATGAGATGAGACCAGAAATGTGCGCTCTTTCATGAAAAATGCAATTAACGATATAATAAACAACTATCGATAATAAAAATTATTTTATTTGATATATTTTTGTAATTTCTTATATACTTATATCAATTATAATTATAAAGAAATATATAATTTTATAATTTAATTAATCATATTAACAGATGTTTTGTTTAATAAACTTATTTTCACGGTGTAAACAAATTAAATACAGATATTATAACTTAATAGACGACTGGGTTTTTAGGGAATTCTATACACACTTTATATATAATATATAACGAAAGAAATGTTTTATTATTCCTTACGAGTAGTGAAACATAATTTAAAATTCCAGACATGAATGGATATTATCAGGCAATGAATCGATTGAACATATTTTGTTGCTTATGATATGCCAATAAAATTGAATTTTATATATAATCTATTAAAAGGCTAACAAATAACACTGTTTAGCAAATAATTGTATGTCTTATTATTGAATAAATATTGAAATTAATGACAATTATTGTGTGAAAATGTATTGATTTTGCAATTTCTGTTGAAAAGGTGGCCAAATGGACGAAAGACGGTGGCATCAAATCGACAACTAATTACACGTCTGTATTGATGCAAGTGTTGAAAGTAATGGAAACGAAAATAATGAAAGTCACTGTCCCTAAAAATGTGAGGAATTTTTACTATTTATTTTTTGCCAAAGAATTTAAATCAATATAAAGTATATTACGATTCACACCATTATTATTATTAAATTATTTTATATTGAATTGAATTTCTATTTACAGGTAAAGCCTTATATATATCTAAAAGAAAATCACGAATCACTGGAAGGAAATGACAAATACACCGGTTATTGTGTGGATCTGTTGGAAGAGATCGCCAAAGTGTTTGAGAAAGATTTCAAGAGCCGATTCCGATATGCCATACATTTGGTTGAAGACGGAAGTTATGGCAATATGAAAGAGTCGGGAGAGTGGACGGGAATGATCGGCGAACTGCTCCGACATAAGGCAGACCTGGCGTTAGCCGATCTGACGGCCACTTATGTGCGCGAGAAAGCGGTCGACTTTACAATGCCTTTCATGAATCTGGGAATCTCTATATTGTTTAAAAAGCCGGGACTACCAGAGCCTGAATTGTTCTCATTTCTGAAGCCATTCTCAGTGGAAGTCTGGCTATATTTGGCGTCCGCTTACTTAGGAATCAGCCTTTTGTTATGGATATTATCGCGAATATCTCCTTATGAATGGGTGAATATATAAAGCCATTCATTTATTTCTTCATATTTTTTGCTCTCTAAAAAATTCCTTGTGCATACTCTCTCTCTCTCTCTCTCTCTCTCTCTCACTCAGTATATACTCTCTTTATATTCTGTTCATATGAAGTAAAACAATGTCTTTCATGAATTGAAAACTTTTCATTAGATTCATAGTCACGACGAGAAATCAAATTTATTATATACGGGGCATAAAATTTTAGGAATAAATATCTATAATACATACGAAAAACGAAAGTTTTGTTTTTACTATTTATATTCAATTCCCTTCTCTTATATTTCAATGCTATTAAAGTAATTCTATGTAAAGAGAGAGACATTTGGACTCAAAAAATAATATTCTCTCTATTTTTCTGTTTTATATTCAATTCAAAGTTTTCGGTTACTATTTGTATTTCATGTTTTTTGCATACAAGTGAACAAAACTCATGAATCTATCGACTTTTTATTATGTACTAAACAAAAATACAAAACAAAATTATTCTCAGATACCGAGTAAAGCCTATGAAGATAAGCCATTCATTAAAATACACACTAAAACAATATACATATACCACTGAATGCAAACAAAATCGTATATACCATGTAATAAAATTGGTATTTTGTTTGCCGGAAAATTCCTTGTAATGCGAAAATAAATCCCAAATTTTTATAAATGTTTATAAATTAAATATAAATTATTTATGCAATTTAAGCGTATGTTTAAACAAATTACTTTCAAAAGGGCTTTTATTACCAGAGCTTTACATACAGTATAATAAGGAAAATCAAATTTTTGTTATTCCATCGCAAATATTGTCTTTTCGTTTTGTGCGTTTTCTCTGATAATAAATTATCAAAAGTATGTAAAATATTAGAAGAAATAATCAGTTAACTGTTGGTTTATTTTTGCAATTAGATAAAGATATTGTAATTTGTATTCGCGTTTCGCGTCGCTATAAAGTATCTACGATATAAACCATTAATGGATTATTTTTGTTGAAATTTTCAGAATTAAATTGTAGACAATTGAGGCATATCTTGATTTACCGTAATATATATTATATAACAAAATATTCACTAAATGTTATAGCAGTTTATGTATTTAATTGCTTGAAACATCCATATAAATGGTTTTTATATGATTTCATATTTTTGTTTTAAGTAAAAAAGTGTATAAAATTTTATGGAGAATTATTTTACCATTTATTTTTTAAAATAAAACTAATCTTTAGATAAATAATACGAAAGAGTTTTTGAGAAGAGGTTTTTTAAGGAGCTATTGATAGCATTCATTTAACACAATGTTTACTTTTTATATAAAAATAATACTATTTTCGATATTATATGAGAACCTAAATGTGTTATCAAAAGTTTTTTCTTCAAAACAACTCGATTCTCGTGTTTATCACATGAGAGAGAGAGAGAGAGAGAGAGAGAGAGAGAGAGAGAGAAAGTTGGGTTAAATTAACGGATCATTAAGTTAGAGCCATTGAGCGCCTGATCTCATCGATTCCTTTACAATCGTCAATATATTTCGGGCCAAACTGTTGACAGAAATACTCACACAAAATATATTATTTGCTTTAAATTTTTTAAAATGTGATTTCGATTTGAGAAATATTTCTAATAAACATCGACCGGCGAAATGGGTTTTTAAAGGTAAAATTAAAATTATTAAACGTTGAAAACTTTGTTATTTGCAATTAATGTGATGTTATATAGGAATTGGAAAAGAGTGCGAAGTCTGTCAACACTATATATTTTTGCGAAAAATCCTATGAAAAGCTAATAAATCAATCAAAAACATATTGTGTAGGAAAAAGAAATCGGAGTTTAAATAAGAAATAGAGTTTAATATATTTGCAATAACTCTGTTGTGTATTACTTACTACTCATACAATTTTTATATACTTTGAGAGTAACACGGATTTTATTGGGGAAACTGGATGTTCACAACCAGTGGAGTCACATATGGTGTCAGTACTGAAAAAATGTAAGAGAGAGAGAGAGAGAGAGAGGCACAGCATTTGTCAAATGTATTAAAGTATGAAAAATGTCTTTTCTTTAATAGACAGACACAAATTTATAGTCAATACAAGACATGTACTGTTATTACAACACAT